CTGCGGATGGCGCGCGTCGGAGGCCTGGCGCCGGCAAGTGCTCTCGCATCGGCTCTCGGATGGTCGGCGACAATTTGGCGGGCGCCATGACGGACCCGTCGATGGTCGGAGGCCCCCCCGCCAGCGTTCATGACCTGATTCAGGGCGCGGCAGAGGTCCAAAGGCGCACTCGAATCACGCGCGGGGCCGATGGGCCCTGGACACTTCCAGTGGGGCCAGAGGGCGCCGCGGCGTCAGGTCCTGGACGATGGCGACGAGCCAGCGCGCGAGCAGCGCGGCGCTCCCAACGTCGAGAAAGACAAGCACCATGCGCGAAGATGCTGATCAAGGCTTCTGGTGCGCGAGCGGATATCTGCAGCGGCTTGAATTCGTTGCTAGGCGATTCTATGAAGGAGTCGAAGGGGGGCGATTTTTCCATGAGCTCCCCCCCCCCCCCCCCCCCCCCCCCCCCCCCCCCCCAGCGGACTGCAAGGGGCGAGGCTCTGGCCCGAAGTGCGCGCCCCCGACAGCTGGATGCATTTCGGCGCGGCAGCGACCAGCTGGCGCGCGGTGCACTCGCGCTCTCCGCGCGCCGCAGCCACGCGCGCCCGCCCTCGCACATGCCCGCGCGCGCGGGGTTACAAGAGAATGCACGCACAGATGGTCTTACCTCATCGGCCTCATGGGCGGGACCGCCCGGGCGGGGGGCCGCCCGAACGCGCGCCCGCGCGGGTCGCGCGCGACACATCGCGCACATTGATATGCATGTTGGCCCAGCCACCACAGCACCTATGCTTGCAGCGGCAGGTCCTTGTCGGCTTCTCGAATAGGCTTGCAGATATCGAAGAGCGCTGACCAGGCGCAGTGCGATCCAAGTCGTCGGCCGAGATTCTCGCCGCCTGCCAAGCCAGGAGCTGCGCGCCGCTGGGCGAAACCAAGCGGTTGGCAGTTGCCCAAATTAACACGAGCTTGAAGGCCCATCAAATTGCCCCGGAGGCAATGTTGCCGCTGAGCGGGGACCCGGGGGGAAAGTGCGGGCTGGCTCTGGATCCTCGTCGAATGCTGCCTTATCTGCGCTGGGACCATGCTGCGCCTATGTTAGGCGCGGGGCACATCGCCAAGTGCACTCGCGAGCGCGCGCATTATTTCGTTGACCAAATCAACGGGGGTCCACCGACCCATCGCACGCCATTCCTTCATCTACTGCGTCTGGGGCAAAGCCAGGCTGGACTATATTCAAGCATGGGCATGGAATGGAAGATCTGACGCGGCCCTGGGGCCCCGGATAATCGCGGAGGCGATCGTGGGACAGATGTTTCTCATGCTGGAATATGGGCCACGCGCGACGCGCTGCCGGGGTGCGTCTTGCTCGCAGCGCATCGTGCTCGGCCCGTTCGATGTTCTTGTCAGGCGCGCAGGCCATACAGCGCGTGCGATTGGTATTTCTGCCGTCGGCATTGCTCTCGCTGTCATGGGGCCCCTGCAGGGCACTGTTGAGGTTTCCCCGCGCGCTCCCGCGCATCTTGGCACGCGCGCTTGTTGAGCTTGGGCTACTACCTGCTGGGCACAGGATGACAGTCACATCCAGTAGCTCTAGAATATATCGAACCATTGCAGAACGTCATGGGCATCTGGGATATAAGCGCGCTGTCGCCTCGGGGGTCTCGGGGGCCGAGGTGGGCCAGGGACAGAGCATTTCATCCAGCTTTGGAGACGCATTCCTCGGACGCGGAGAAGCTTCCTCGATTGATGATTGCAGCATCGTCGCCAGCGATGGAATACGACCCAGGAGCGCACGGAGCCGCGTCCCCCACTCGTCGAGCTCATGAGAGGTAGCATAAGAAGCACATGGTATACCCCAGGAGCTACCCCAAGGAAGGCCTGGGCCCCAAGGAGCCACTCGGGCATTGAATGGGGCCTACTCTTGGTCTGGTGCAGGGAGATGGGGCATTGAATGGGGCCTCTCGGGACTGCGGGGGCTGGCGTGGACGATCAGCTGGAAAATGGTAATGATAAGTGGAAACCGAGCATCCCTGAAGTCTGTCCAAGTGGGGCTTTGCCCAGGTCGCCACGCAGGCTACATCTACGTGTGCACCCGCGCACATCATGCAATTCCGACTGCGCATGCAACATGCGACGTCTGCACCTCCTACCACATCGCGCGGGAGCGCAAAGACAAAGCCAGCGGGCAGCTCGACGCCACGGCGAGGGTTGACGCTCGAGGTCCTCTGCCACGAACGCGAGCCTCGCGGCGTTGGAGCCGCGAGCCGGCGCCGAGATCTTGCGCGCCGCCTGCGCGGCGTCGAGTGACAGTCAGCAATGGCGCACCCTGCGCGCCAGTCTCGACATGGTCACAGGGCACATATACACCGATGGCGCCAGTAGGAAGGCACGGTGTTGGCCAGAAGCTACCAGGCCGGGCGCGGCTGCATCAGTGCTCCAGGAGGTCCATCGAGATGGTCGTATACGGAGCTCTTCCTGGCCCTCTTTCAGAGCCAGAGCCCCCCAGGGGGCTCAGCTCTACGCGTTTTTACAAGTTCTCAAGGTCTGTATACTGCCTGTGTATGTGTTTACGGATATTCTAGGATTGGTTGGGCCCGGATACGGGCCTCTCCCACAAGGGCGGGCGGCCTTGCGAGGCCCAGCACCGACCTTCACTGGAAAAATCAGAGGAAAGTTGGTGGCCTCGGAGGCCTTGGAGAGCCATTGCAGGTTTCGCACGTTAGAGGCCACTGGTCTGGGGATCCAATGGAAGCTAGTTCTAACAGATGGGCCCGCGTTGCGGCCGCGCGCGGGCAGGATCTCCATACCGCGCCCAAGGTTTCCTTTGTTCGCATGCGGATCGCGCACAGGTCCGTCACCTGCAATTGCTTGTTCGCTCCCAACCTGTCTGCATGTCTCACGGGCGCGTCAGCACCTGTAGGAGATCCAGGAAGCCCCAGGAAGCCCATAGGGGGCGGGCCAAGCGACTCCCGAGCCTCCCGAGATCCCCCCGCACGAAAGGCATGTTGTCGAATTGATTCGGCTAACTTTTCTAGAGATGCCTTTACTGTTTTGAAGGAATCAAAAAGCTAGAGAAACGAGAGGGACATAGTTTCTGCTGCCCAGTGTTTCGTTAGGTCTGCTATTGCACCGCTAGCTAAAGATACTCTTGAGATTTCCCCTGCGGCGTTGAACTCACCGCGGGCCTGCGCGAGGCCCTCGCGGGGTTCGAAGGCAGCCCAGGATGGCAGACGTCTGCTCTAGGCTCGTCAGGCACCGGGCCTGGCGTCAGGCGCCCGCCCACTTCGGGCCCTCCCCCACCGAGGGGGGGGCCTGGAGGGAAAGTTTTTCAAGGATGTTCGAGGCCAGAACCTGGGAGAACCCAGGATCCTCATATCCCAGAGCCTCACGGCGCCACCCGACAGCGATCCCCACCGGCGGTCGCGTCACCTGTGGTTTTTCGGTCAGATCGTTCACGCGCGACGCCAGCCAGCTGGCGACGGCGGTCCAGGCGTTCGAGCCCAGTCCGCCTCTTTCCGTGCCACCCCTTGGAACGTCGTGCTGGACCGCGGCCAGGCAGAGCAACCCTCGCCTAGACGAGAGTGCCCGCTGTCTTGTTACCTGGCCAGGACATGGTTCAGCCTTGTCACGGGAAAAGTTACTACTGTTGACTAACGCCTGGACGCGTCATCCGATGCGTTCGGCGTGTATATCACACAGAACGACAGGAAGAACAGCTTGCGTTAGACTGCGAGCCCCCCCAATCGTCTGGGGGTGGCGGGGGCACGCGATGTGCAATCGCAAGCTTCTCTCTGCCAGCAAGCATTTTTGCGTCGAAGGAAGAGTTTCCTCCGGGACCACCCCCCAGCTTCGACCGCTCCTGGCCACTGATCCCGGGGTCCCCTGGCTTCGTCGCAGAAGGGAGGTTGTGTTTCGGCTCTGGCTTGCACGGGCCGTGTTTGTTTCGGCGGCGACGGTGGCGTTGGCATCGGATCGAGCGAGGGGCACCCGCGCGCGCGCCTGCTTCGCCCGTGCCAGAGGCACGAGGACCCCCGCCCTCTGCTGACCGCCGCCGCCCATCTTTCCAGTCCCCTCGCTGCTGCCAGGATCCCTCGGGCGGATCGCTGCAGGCCTTTGAAGGCTCGAGGCGGGCCTGTCGGCGCGTCTCTTTCGATACCGTATGTCTTGCGCGTCGCGCGAAAGTTTCATGAACGACGTATCATCATCCTCCTCCTCCTCCTCCTCCACTTCGTCAGCTCGTGTTCATCCACCTCGTCCTTTCTCTTCCTCCACCTACATTGGCCCCTCACGCATTCGGTTCGAGGCCGCATCCTCGTCCTCATCCGCTTACTTCTGCTCCCGCCTCCTCATCCCCCGACCCTTCCCCCCCGTGAGTTTTTCCTCCTCGCTCTCCTCGTCCTCCTCCTCCTCCTCCTCCTCCTCCTCCTCCTCCTCCTCCTCCTCCTCCTCCTCCTCCTCGTCCTCCTCCTCCTCCTCCCCTCCTCCTCGTCTCCTCCTCCTCGTCAACCTCCTCCTCCCCTCCTCTCCTCCTCCTCCTCCTCTCCTCATCATCATCATCATCATCATTATCCTCCTCCTCCTCTTCCTCCGCGTCCTCTTCCTCCTCCTCATTCCTCCTCCTCATCCTCCTCCTCCTCCTCCCCCTCCTCCTCATCCTTCTCCTGCTCCTCCCAACCCTCAGGAGACATCGGGACACTTCCCGGTCCCGCCGAACACTTGCTCAGAACTAGTGAAAACCTCCGACGACGCCGACCACGACCCAGACATCCGACGATTTGTTTTCCCCATGCGCGGCCCCGGAGCTCCCGACCGTTTCTCCTCGGGCAGCTTTCCGCCTAGATGCGTTCCTGATGGCCCCAGGGGCTGACATCGAAGAACAAGTTCGGGATTGAAAGTCCCAGATCCTCGAAGATCAGGGCACGGCGGCGGTGGCGACGGCTCAGGAGGGAAGAGCCCACACAGACACAAGTAATCGGCGACCCTCAGGAAGAGGTGGGAAGCCATGGGAAGGGGGGGGG